CTGTGCAGCTCAACCATGGCTTGCTCCAAGGACTCGCTCTGGTTAATGCAGCCACGCATCCCACCGGCACACAGGGCAAAATGAGAGGGGTCAATCCCCAGCCGGAGCCACCGGAGCCTGGGTGATGGCAGTGGCTCCTATCTCCGGTTATCGAGGCAGTGCCCGCCCTGACCATGTCATCACCGGCTGGGCTGGCGCTTCCCTCCACACCAGTGCTGCTCCCCATGGGCTGGTGGTGCTGGTTCTCCTGGGTACCCCCAAAGGCAGCTCATGAGTCACCCTATGGTCACTTGGTTTAGGGATGGTTTAGGGATGACCATCAAACTGGAGATGATTTCATGGCATGAGCAAGAAGCTGAGCGGGTGCTCAATGCAATGCAACAGCTCCGGTCTCAGAGTTCACCAAGGCAGGAAGTGTCACTGCCTCCTGGCTCTTTCTTTACCCATGGGCTCTGCACTGCAGCTTCCCTTTGGGTTTGTGTGGGTTTCCTTTAGCGCAGCAGAAGCGGGGCGAGAAATCCCACACCCCCAAACTAAACCACCCCAACACAGGAGCAGCACCCATGTCCTCCCCTGCCCCTGCCATGGAGCAATACAGCTGGTGCCCACCCTGTTACAGAACCCCAGGCTGGTTTGGGTTGGAAGGGACCTTAAAGCCAATCCAGCTCCAACTGGAGGGACCCCTTTTACTGGAGCAGCTTGCTCCAAGCCCCTGTGTCCAACCTGGCCTTGAGCACTGCCAGGGATGGGGCAGCCACAGCTTCTCTGGGCACCCTGTGCCAGCGCCTCAGCACCCTCACAGGGAAGAGCTTCTGCCTAAGAGCTCAGCTCAGTCTCCCCTCGGGCAGGTTCAAGCCATTCCCCTTGGCCTGTCCCTACAGGCCCTTGTCCCAAGCCCCTCTCCAGGTTTCCTGCACCCCTTTAGGCACTGGAGCTGCTCTAAGGTCTCCCCTTCAGGAGCCTTCTCTCCTCCAGGCTGCCCCAGCCCAGCTCTCTCAGCCTGGCTCCTTCCCAGCACCATGGGACAGACCCATCCTGCAATCAGGTGCTGGCACAGCACGGGCTGCTCCAGCCGATTACATCCTCCAGCCTGGGCCAGCCGCCAGCCACTTGCCCATGCCAAAACGTTGATTTTCCCCCCTTTCGTTGCCCTGAACTGAGGTCCCTGTGGAGGGGGGGAGAACCAACAACTTCCCCCCTTCCAGCTGGAAACAGCGGCACAGAGGTGGCTTTGGACTACATAAAAGGGCTACTGCAGGCGGGTGGGGAGCAATAACCCCAGACCCGGTCGAGGTTTGTTATAGAGGCAAACACCAGCACGGGTTTGAGCACACAGAGCTCAGCCCTGGGGCAGCAGGAAAAGCCCTTCAAGGAGCAGGGTCCAAGGCACGGAGTGGGAAGCACTGACCCTGCTTCCATAGGCACCGGAGCCCTCACCCAGGGCAGCGGGAGGAGGAAGAGAAGGGCTCAACCTCCAGGCTCTGTTGGCAGGAACAAAGGGGTGAGCGATGGGTGAGTGCCCACCGGGGTGGGAGCATCCCCGGCCCCACATAGGGACCCTTCAGTCCCTCTTTGAGCCTCAGCCCCGACTCCTCGAAGCCTCCGGGGCACCAATCCAGGGCACCCTGCGCTGCCACGTCCCGTTTGGCACCGCCACAGCCGTAGCTGGCACCGGGCTCGGACGAGCTCCACGTCCATGGTGCCATCACCACGGGGATCCCGTCCCGTACCAGCCCCCGGAGCCGGCTCCGCACGGAGCTGAGCGGCTTTTCCGCCATCCGCTCTTTGCCAAGCAAAGAAAGAAGCCGCCTCCGCTCCGGACCCGGGGGTTTTATCCAGATCCCGTTGGTTATCGTGCAGGGAACGGACACGGCACCGGCGCTCACAAAGCCAGGCGGGAATGCTGCTCGGCGCTGGCAAAACCCCGGTCCCGGCCGCCCCCCGGCGCATCCCATCGCCGGTTCCGGTGTCCCCAGGGAGCGCCCGTGACCTTCACGGGGTAAACACTCATTACCCCATTACCCCAATGACGGCCTCCGGCCACTGACACCCTCCGGGCCGACGGCGCAGAACCTCTCCCGGTTCGGTGCAGCCGCCGCCGATCCCCCCCGCCCCCCAGCCGCAGACGGACCGGAGGCGGGAGGAGAAACCGGAACGGAGCCGCGATCGCACCGACAGCCCAGAGGATGGGGACCGGACCGGACCGGACCGGGCCGGGCCCCCGGTAGCCCCTCGCCCCGGCAGCCCCCGCCGCCCCGCACTCACGGGTAGGGCTCCTCGGGGCCCGCACCGCCGCGCAGCACCACCATGGCCCGGTACCGGCACCGGGGAGCTCCGGCAGGAAGTGGCGTCAGAAAGGCGGGACTCCTCGTGGTCCCACCCCCGAGGTGCCGCGGGGGGGGGCAGAACCGGGTCCCGGTGGTTGGGGGGACCCCCCAGAACCGGGGCTCGGTGGTGACGGAACCCCCGGGACGCGGCCCCTTTAAATCCACTCCGTTGCCGCGGGGCTCTTAAAGGGGCCGCGCCCTTCACGGCGGTGGCGGTGCCCCTCCCGGCCGCTAGGCGGCGCTGCGGCCGCGCTCCCCGCGCGGTATTTGCATGCGGCCGCAGCAGCGGACCAATAGAGAAGCGGGGCGGGGCGCGGAGGGTGCGGTGGGCCAATGGCAGAGCGGGGCGGGGCGGTGCCGGGCCCCGCCCCCTGCCCGCGGGGAGAGCAGCCGCCGAGCGGGCAGCGATCGCGCCCCGGCCCCGCCGCAGCCCGAGCCCCGGGCGGCCGCCGCTGCTATGCGGCTTCGCGGCGCTCGGCCTCCACCGGGTAAGCGGGGAACCCCCCCCACACCGGCCCCGCGGTCGGCACCGGGACCTCCCCCTCGGCCGGTACCGGCGATCGGGGGCTCCCCGCCGCGCTCGGGGGCTGGGCGACACCGGGGGCTGGCCGCGTCCCTTGGGTGGGCTGGGACCCCCGCAACCGGTTGCTGGGCGGGACCGGGGCGCCCCTTCCCGTTTCTATGTCCGGTTACCGGGCGCTTCCCCCGCGCGGGGCCGGGGGACTCCGGCTCCCTCCCCCGCGGCCGCTCCCGGCGCGGCCTCTCCGTCCCCTGCGGGCGTTACTGTCCCGGCCGGTTAGAGCCCCCCGCGCCCCGCCCCGCCCCGCCCCGCCTGGGGACACGGGACGGAGCCGCCGCCACCGCCCTGTGCCCGCGGGGTCCCGAGGCACCGGCCCGAGGAGGGGGCCAGGGCCGGGTGCTGGGGCCGGGGCCGGGTGGGAGCCGCTGGTTCATCCCGGCCAGGGTGGGGGCCGCTTCCCTCCCGCTGCTGGCGGAGCCGCCGGTCCCCAGGTTCAGCTGCGGGCCGCCGATGCCACGTGCCCCGGGGACGATCCCCCCTTTCCCCTCCGTCTGTCCCCAGGGACCGGCATCCCCCGGGCCCGTCCTCGCTTCATGCCCCGCGGTGGCGTGAGCCGGGGGTGCCCGTCCGCGGCCGGGCCCGGTGCCGGTGGCACAAAGGCCCCGTCGGTCCCACCCCGCCCGTGCCGTGTATTTTTAGCCCGGTGCAGCCGCTGTCGCTGCCGAGCACCTGCCCCCGCGGGGACGCCCCAAATCCCCCCCCCCCCTCCTCCTCCTCCTCCCCGCATTAGGGAGGCACCGAGCGGCCGGGAGGGGACAAAGGGGCACGGCTCAAGGTCACCGCGGGCCGGGGTGCCACGGTCCCCTGGGCTCGGAGTCACCGCGGGGGCCACGCTCGGGCTCCGGTTCCCTGCGGGGATGTGGCAGCGAGGAGGGGGCAAGGCCGCGGCTGGAGGCAGCAGCTCCGCAGCCGGCTCCCGGCAGCACCGGTGCTGGCACTGAGTGATTTGGTGACTCGCCAGAGGAGCACGTGCCTGGGACGGGGTTCGCTCTGGTTCTGCTCTTGGCACTCGCCGGTGCAGGGGATGGAGTCGCAGCCGGATCCTGCTGCGGTGCGGAGCGGGGAAGGGTCCCTGTCCCCTGTCCCTTGCCCCCGCACCATGGGGACGGCTGCGGTAGAGGAGGGGAAACTGAGGCAGCAGCGCGGGCTCCCCTTGGGTGGCAGCGGTTGAGCAGAGCGCAGCGGGGCCGGGAGCGGATGCGGCGGCTGCAGAGAGGCGCGGGGGGAGCGACCGCGCTGGAAATGGGTTCCCCTTTCCAGAAGTCGCTGCCGGCTCCCTCTTGCTGCCGCGTTCCACTGCCCGAACGTGGCACCACCGCGGCCGTGAGCTCCCTCCTTGCCTTCGGCACGATGGAGTTGCCTCGTCCGAACGGGCTCTGGTTGCACTGGGACAGGGTGTGATGTGCTGGTTCCTCCGGTGCGTGCCGTCGGGGTGAAGCAGAGTTAAGGCACCCACAGCCCTTGCATCACCCTGGGGATCCCACATGGGTTCCCCCACACTTTGGGACTCTTCTGGTGTCCCCATGTGGGGAGGTGCCCTGTCCCCCATGGGGGACCCACGGTGTGGCTCTCCCCTCCCAGTGGGTCTGTTATCTGCATGCACTGGTCCCCCTGTATCCCGGTATCCGCTGCCTGCAGGGCCGGGCTGGGCTATCGGGTCCGGCAGGCCCCTTCCCCCTCCAGCAGCAGGGCCCCGGCCCTATCTCATTAGCTAGAGATTAATGAGGCTCCTGCGCTGTCTTTAACTCCTTCCTGCTCGCCGGCTCCGCTGACCCTCGGCTCCGCTTCTCCCAGCAGGTTTGAGCCGACGTGTGCCAGAAGCTGAGCCAGAGGAGGACTGAGGGACACCAGGCTCCAAGCAGGGGGGGGACCACACCGCATTGACCCCAGACCGTGCCCAGTTGGTGACGGAGGCAGCGATGTTTGGGGCCGCAGCTGCTGCCTGTTGAGCCCAAGGAGGCTTCGGACGCATTCACCAGCAGCACCCTGAGCCCCGGGAGCCCTCGAGTGAAGGAGGCATCAGGACAAGGCTGAGGGGGGCTGGGGGCACATCCTGCTGCCCTCCCGGTGCTGGCCATTCCCGGACACCCACCAGCGCTGCAGCCCCTCGGCCGCCCTCGCCCCCCTGGGCAGCCCCATTGCAGGGCTGCCCCCCCCGGTGCGGCCCAGCCTTGGAGCACAGCAGCGTGCCGGGCGCTGCCCCCCGCAGCCCCCGGGTGCTGCCCCCTGGGTGCGTGGCCCCCCGTGGCCCCGGGGACCCTCCGCCCGCCGGCAGAGCCATGAAGCTGCAGGCGGTGATGGAGAACCTGCAGCGGCAGCAGCGCGCAAGGCTGCAGCAGGCGCTGGAAGCGCGGCAGCAGGAGCAGCAGCAGCAGCAGCAGCAGCATCGCTCCACGTCCCCCCCGGTGCAGCCCCCAGAGGGCCCAGGGCAGCCCCCAGCCAACACCCCGGTCCGTGCCCGCGGTCAGGATGCGGCTCCAGCACCATCGGAGGAAGGACCGGAGCCCGAGAGCGCGCACATGCAGCGGGCACAGATGGCCGCTCTCGCTGCCATGCGGGCGGCAGCCGCCGGCCTGAGCCACTCGTCCAGCCCCAGGCAGTCGGATGAGAGCCAGGCCTCAGAGGAGGAGGAGGAGGAGGAGGAAGAACACGGTGAGGAGGAGGAGGAGGATGGCGGGTACCAGCAGGAGATGGGCTCTGAGGAGGAGGAGGATGTGTGAGTATCCACCAGCACTGGGGAAGGGGCAGGGATGTGATCCGGCTCTGGTGGGGTTTGGTATAGTTGGGGACACCGGTTGGGAGCGGTGGTGGAGGCTGCTGGGGAAGCCTGTGCTGTGGGTTAGTGCTGTAAGGATGTGTTGGATGCCAGGAGCAGCAGCTCAGCTCCACAGCCATGCATCCTGCTGGGCTGGCATGGTGTGATGTTCCATCTGTGGCCGTGATGGAGGATGCTGCACTGGCACTAAATAATGCAGGGCCCTCGTGGCTGCCTCCTCACAGCCTCTCTGGAGCAGGGAATATGCGGGAGCCATATGGCAGAGCCGCCGCTGGGGCTGCACCAGGTCACTGACTGTGTGCCGGGCGGGTGGACCCAGCCCCACGGCTGTGGGGTGCCCATGGGGAGGGCAGGTGGGAGAGGGGGGACCCAGCTCCTGCCCCGTGTGGGGTGCAATGGCTGAATGTTTCCTCTCCCCCTGCTCTAGGAAGGGCAAGTGGGATGAAGATGACTTTGAGGAGGACCTGGGCGAGGAGGAAGAGGAAGAAGAGGAGGAGGAGGAAGAGGAAGACTACGAGGAGGAGGAAGACATGGGAGAGGAAGGGCTGGGCTCGGCAGAGGCGGTGCGGGCCAGCGCGGGCTCCCTTCTGCTCCGCAAGCCGCCGGCACCGCAGCACTACCGGGGCGAGCCGCAGCGGGTGCCGGGCGGGCAGGAGCGGCTCCCCCCAGGGCTGGGCCATGCGCAGCCCCCGCCACCGGCACCCGACCACGGTGACTGGACCTACGAGGAGCAGTTCAAGCAAGTAGGTACCCGCTGAGACCCGTGTGCGTCCCCACCGTTCCCGTCCCTCCCTCCCCTGCTCTCGGTTCTGCCGTGCATCCCTATCGGTGCCGCCGTGTCCTCCGGTTGAGCTGCTAAGAACACACTGGGATCCTCTGGGGTGCTTGGGCTCAGCCTCACCCCTTCCTTAGTCGGTGGCTTTGGTGGGTGCCGAGGCCCCAGTGCAGGCAGGCGATGTGATGGTGTTTGCCGCAGGGATTCTTGCTGATAACGATGTGAAAATCCATCCCAACCTCCCGCTTCTGGTGGGGACCTGGCTTACCCCCCGTCACCATCACCATAGAGGTGATGCCCAGCGGGACGGCTCCGGCCCCATGGATGCTGCAGGCTCTGGAGCTCACTGTGCCCCGCTTGCAGCTAATAGAAGGAAACGTTGTGCGAGCTGGGGCTCCCCGGGGTCTGCCCGGCACCTTTGATGTGTGTGTTTAAATACATCTGAGTTTAGGGCTGGGGGAAGGGACAGGAGCCAACAGCAGCAGATGGGACCCAGATGGAGCAGCCAGGGCTTGGTGGTGGCCTTTTGGGAGGGATGCGATGGCCCCTGCCCCTTCCCCTTCGCATCCATCCCAAAAGGGGGAAGGGGCTGCTGGGATCTGCCGGCACATCTGGATGCAGGGAGAGGAAGCACAAGGCAGCACTGAGCGTGCGGCCACGCTCCGGCCCCGGCAGCGCCCACATTGCTCCTGTCTTGTGGTTTCTCTCTTGGGTGCTTCCTGCTGTTGGGGAGCAAAGGGCCGGGCCGTGAGCTCCTATCTGCTAAAGGCCTTTGTGATGCCTCAGCCGTGATCTTCCTGTTTGTCACCGTGTCGGTGCCCGGCAGTCGCTCGCAGCCCTTGGGATCCAACAGGAAGATCCAGGGTGAGCGGTCGGTGTGGACTCACAGCAGCCTATAGGTGTGCGAGCGGCACAACCACAGCACTCGGGGCCACCGGGTCCCAGCAGGGCTCATCCCAATGGAAAGCTTGCCGGGGTCAGCAGGAAGAGCCCGGCACCGTGGTGAATCACGGCAAGAGCCAAGAGGGGTGGGAAGCGGCGTCGGGCAGGAGAGGCTTTCCCCGGCGCTTGGATCGCGGCCACTGGAGCCGGGCCAGGGGTTGTTGGGCTCGGCTCAGCGCGGCGCTGGCCGGGAGCTCCTCCTTGGCCACCCTCCAGCGCGTGCTGTGCTCCAGCCCGTGGAGCAGCAGGAATGTAAACAGTGAGTGCCGGTGGGGGGGATGCGTTCCCCATTGCACCCCCAGTGCACCGTGGCCGGATGCATCCCGGTGCTGGGAACGCAGCCGTGCCGGTGCTCTGCCTTCCCGTCGCGGTGGGGAGATGAGGAAGGGGCCGGTTTGGGTTCAGCGGTGCTCTCCTTGCAACCGTGGTTCGGGTTCAGCTCTGGATGTGCTGGTGAATGACCCGTGCTGGTGAATGACCCAGTCTGGTGCTCTCTGCTCCTCACCGGGCAGTGCCACCGTGTGTGAGTCCCCGTCTGCACCAAAACCTCTTGCCAGGGGCTGTCCCCATCCTCCCTCATTGCCCCGTATGGGACAGATTCCTGCAAGCAGAGGAGGAGGAAGAGGGCCCAGCTCGAGGAAGGGGAGGGCGTGAGGAAGAGTTATGGAGGTTCTGGAGGTGAGGGAGCCGGCGCGTGGCACCTCCCCGTCCCCGGGGACAGCTACCGCAGGGCAGAGGTCAGCTCGGCGCTGACCCGGGCGCAGGCAGCAGAACAAAGGAGTCCCCGGTGCTGCGGGGGGCTCGGTGGCTCCTCGATGGGGAAAGGGGTGTTTTGGGGGCAGGAGGAGGCTCCCCATGGGTGATGGCCCCCATGTCCTCCTCTTCCTCCTCCTCCTCCAGGCTTGCTTTGGGTTTGACCTCATGCCTGTCGTAGTGAGGAAGGGACCGGGATGGCATCAGCACATCGCCGCCCTGATGCTCTTGTGTGGGTTTCATTGTCACCCCTAAAAGCACAACAGGGTCCCCACAGGGGCTGGGTGATGCCAGCTTGGTTGTGGTGGTCACAAGGGCTGGGGCACCGGTCACAGTGCTGCCCCATAGGGCACAAGCCCTACCGAAGCTCTGGTACTGCTCACAGCGAGCTCTCCCAGGGACAAACCCGCTTTGAATCCATGCCCCAGCCCCGGGGCTCTGCATGGAACCCCCCCTCCTGACCTTTCTGTTTCGTTACTGCTATTACTGTGCCCCACTAACACCAGTTTCCTGCCTGCGCCCCTTGGGGAGCTTCCTGTGCTGCCTGCGCTCCCTCGGGCACCAGCACCGTGTCCTGCAAGGGGGTGGGGGGGGGATCTGCCTCCTGGTGCCCCCTGCACCAGGCACTGTCTCCGATGTGGGTGTCCCCTTTGGGGTGCTGCGTTTGGGCTGTCACAGGCTGGTGTTTAACACCCTCGCATCCAGAGGCAGCACCGGAGGCTTTGAGAAGCTGGTATTTTGGGGGGGTGCAAGAGGGTTTTTTAAGCTGTCCCAAATGGGGGCACGGTGGAACATGGGGGGGTGAAAACCTCAGCCCTTATCTTGCGCTGAGCATTGCCCCATTGCAGTGTTTCAAAGGGCAATGGGAAGAAAGAAGTAAACCAAAAGCAAATCTGCAGCTTCAGGGCTGGGGTGGGGGGGAACAAAAGCCAACCCCCCCCCATCCTACCTGCTTCTGGGATTCCACACACTGGGAACACAGTGACTCCTAGGAAGATGAAACTGGGATTTTCCTGCGGGAAAAGCCTGGTTTTCCTCCAAACCCCAAGCTCTGGTTAAGGTGTGGGGGCACTGAACCCTTCCTTTTGGTTTATTTCCTTTTGCCCCCCCCTCCAGTGCTGGCTGGGGGCATGGGGGGGGGGCTGCATCCCCTTCACAAGGGTCCATTTATTGTCTTTAAAATACTGATTAATGCTTTATTGCATGAGCCAAGGGCTCAGGGGCCCTGCACAGGGAAAGGGGGACCCCGGCCCCCCAGCCCTAAAGGCGGTTGAGCTCTGACCGGTGCTTCGGTGTGGTCAGATAAAGGGCAGCACCATAGGGCTGGGAGGAGGCAGATAACGGGGGCGAGGAGGGGACCCCCCCTGGGACAAGGGCCATGGCCGGCTCATTGCAGGGTGCTCCCAGCTGGGATCCATCCCGGTAATTGGCTCACGGTGCTCAGGGAGCATTCTCAGAGCCATAATCCCACCGGATCCCTGGCCGGGGGTCAGGGACTTCTTGGTGAGAGCGGCTTAGCCTCCCCCAGCCCTGCCTGGTGCCGGCTCCGGTGTTGGGACACGGAGTGAAGCCGTTTCTCCCAAGGATAATGCACAATGTAGGGAGCAGGGATGTGTTCCCCCCTCCATACGAGGTGCTTGGCCACTGCCTTCCCTGTGTTTGCTTCTGGGTGATCCAGCACCCCGCATTGGTGTTGTCTGTTAGTGTCCCCCTCGCAAGCCTCGGCTCCCCCCGCTCCAAGGGCTGCAGGGGAGGCTCCGGCACAGCTGAACCAACAGGAATGAGGGTTTATTTAAGAGAGGGGGGAGAAAAAAGAGCAGAGCAAGGGCAGGTCTTTTGTCAGCAAAGCAAACACCGGCCGGGCCGCGGGGCGGTTGGGCAAGGGCGCAGCATTGCTCCATCGCCCTATTTCTGGCCCAAACCGCAGGAGCGGGGCCCGGGGCGCAGGCGGACGTGCTGCAATCGGGGGGCCAGGGTGAGGGGTAGGTGGTGTTTTAGGGATGGGGGGAGCTCTCTATGTTCCCTATGGTGTGTCTCTGTTGGTACTCTGAGTGCCTGGGGCAGCCGGATTGGGGGGCTCAAGGTGCAGGTCCTGGCTCCCAACCTGCTCCCGGTCCCTTCCATTTGGTCTCTTCATGTGCCTGTGGCAGGGTTCCCTCTCAATGGAGCTGGTGATAACCCACGTGTACCCATGGATAGGGCAGCCCCATCCGTGCTGTGGTGACTTCCTTGTCCCCCCTGCTAGAGGTGGCAGCGGGGAGCACTGGGGCAGACACTGGCCCTAAATCCCTTTCCCTCCTGCCTCAGTTTCCCTGCCTGTCTCACAGGCAGATTTGAGACCAGCTCTGCAGGGCTGATGTCCCAGTGCTGGCTCCCTGTCAAAACCATCTGCTGGAGGGGCTGCTGGACCCCTTCCAGCTCCCATGGGCAGGACTGGGGCATGCAGGACCCCCCCACACCGATACCAGCGGGGACACTGGTGCAGCCGGTGGAGCTGCTGTGCCCTGGATGGACAGACCTCGCATTTCAGGAACAGATTTGCAATTAGCCAAATCCGGGCGGTGGTGGAAGCCCTGGTGACAGTGACTCATCTGCTCCGGCTCCCAGCGATCCTGCTCCTGCTCTAAGCCCATCATTTACATATGGTGGAATTTAAACCCCAGCTCTGCCGCCGGGGCCGGTGTTCCCAGTGCTCACACACTGCCTGCATCCAGGGGTCTCAAGGGGGGGCACAGCCCAAAGCGGCTCCCCCAAGGCTTTGCTCTGTTTCTCTGTTAGAAGCTTTGCTTTTGGCTGTGTTTTCCCCCCCCTCCCAGCCCGTGCCATGGGGCTGGGGGTGAGCCGGGCTCTGGGTGTTGCTGCCTGGGACGGACGAGCTTTGTGAACCCTGCTTGGCTGCACTGAAGTAATATTTGCACAAGGTCTGGGGCGATAGCGAGCTTGTGTCAAGGGCACGCACGAGGGCCAGCATCCCATCGCATGGCTTAGAGAGGGGGTGACAACCCCCAGGACCCCCCCATCCCACCACCGCTTGGCTCCGACGCTGCTGCCCAGGGGGACCCTCAGAAACCACGGTTTCAAATGCAACTGCAGCAGGATTCGCTTCCTCCTCCGCAGGAAGGGGAAGCAGCAGCAGCAGCAGCCACTGTCAGCCCGCCCGGGCCGGTGGCTCCATGCGGAGCATTGCGGCTGCTGCCGGGCCCCGCAGCGCGGTGGGGACGGCGGCCGCCGGCGCAGGGACAATGGTGGGTCAGGGAGGTTAAACGGCGACTAATTTGCCCATTCAATGTCCCCCCTCGGTGCCGGTGACACCCGCGGTGCCGCCGCTGACACCGCCTGCGTGCCCCTGGGTCACCCATGCGGCTGCTGCCCCCAGCCTGGGCACGGGGGGTGTGTGGGTCCCCATCTAATGGGGGGGCTTGGTTTGGGTCAGGGGGCACCCATTGACGATGAGCGCGCATCCCTGTCCCCCACATCGAGTGGTGTTGGCTCCCGCAGGACCGCAGCACGGATGCAGCCACAGCATCACTCCGGGGGGGTGTATGGGGTGTGTGTGCTGATGCTGGGGGGAGCAGAGCTTTGGGGCGATGGCTGGGGATTGGGACCGGGCTTGTCCCTGAGGAGGGGGCACCGATGGGGAACAGACCCTTGCGGTGGTGGGGCCGCCGAGGGGACAATGCTGGGAACCAGCGGGAACAATGGTGCCGACGGGAAGCACGGGGGCGAGGGCCCAGCGCTCGTCCCGTCCCCCGTCCCCCCCTCCCTCCCCATCCCGGCTGCCCCCGCGGAAGAGGCCGCGCTCCGGCAGCAGGAATCCCGCCGGGCCGGTCAGTGGACTCGGCCCCATCCCGCACGGGCGTGTTCCCGGCCGGCCGCGGGGCTGCAGAGCCAAAACGGGAGGGGTTAAAGGGGAAGGGGCGCATCCCTGCTGCCCCATCCCACCCCGCAATGGGGACTTGGGAGGGGGCTCGGGGATGGGAGCAGCGAGAGCCGCCCCGTCCCTAAGCCGAGCGCTTTATGTGCAGCGGGGTCTGCGCCGGACTCTCCCTTTGCCCTTCGCTGGGAGGGAGCGGCCCCAGCAAACCCCATTCCTTGTGCTGGAGAGGGGGGGGACACACGGGACCGAAGGGGCCCCACGGCCTCGGGAAGCCCAGCAGTGACTCAGCCACCGTCTGACGGGAAAGCAGCTCAAGCATCTCCCGAAACGCCTCATCCCCGCGCTCTGGTTCTTACAAAGCACTTTCATTCCCTTGCAGAATTGCCCCCCGCAACCGCGGTGCGCGGGGGGGGGGTGGGAAACATCCCCCCGGTGTTTATGTGCGTTAAATAACTCGTTAATGTGCGTGGTTCCTCCCTCCCCGCTGCCCGGCGTCGCCCCTGCGCTGTCAGCGGGACAAAGGGACGGTCCCTATGGAATGCTTGGAGGAAGGAAGGGAGAGAAGGAGGAGACCCCCCCCCCCTCTGCCGCCGCTGCCTTCACGCCGCTCTGGCATCAATCAGAGGCTTTCCCCGCACCGGGGTGGGCTCTGCCCTGCTGCTGCCTTTGGGGTTTTGCCCTAAATAAGAGAAATTCAGGATTTTCCAGCCCCTGGAAGGCAGTGGGATGTGCCAGAGGGTCTGAACCATTCCCCCCCCCCCCCCGGGTCACGGCATGCACGTCCCAAACCGGTATCGAGGAGAAGGGAGGAAGGCTGAGAGTGCCGGGACTTCCTGGCGATGGAAAAGAGACTTGGAAATTAATCCCTAAGGCCTGAAAACCAGAACCAAGATGGGGGGGGGATGTTTTTAACTGAGGCTCCTTTGCAGCCACAGCCCTGCTGTGGTTGGGGGGGGACCCTCACTTGGCTCTGGTGTAAGTCCCGGCATTGCTGGGTGCTTCCCCTCCCTGCTTTAATTACCCCTTTGCCTGTTGTGATGGGGAGCAGTGCGCTGGGGCGGCGGGGGGGGGGTTATCTCCATCCCTCCCGGACCCCCGGCACGCACCGCTCCCGTGCCGAGGGCTCTGTGCTGCATTCCTGGCATTGCCGAGGGGCCCCGGCAGCCCTTTGAAAGGCACCGGGTCGGGATTTTCCCGTAATCTGGTTGGAATCGTTAATCCGGTCATCCACACCAAACACCGGGCCGGCATCCTGCCGGGGGTGCGGGCTCCCCGCTGCCCACCCCCCCCCCCCCTTTCCCCATTCCTCCTCCACTTAATTATACATCCGCTGGCAACAGCCATCTGGCACCGTGTCCTCAGCCGGCCATAGGGACCCATGGTGGTTGTGCCGCCGGCACAGAGCCGGTGGTGCTGGGTGTTTGCCCCTGTGCACCGGGAGCAGTGGGGGGCGTCTCTTATCCTGGTTGTGCCGCAGCATCCCCGGCACCGCGCTCTCACCATGGGGACATCTTGAAGCTGTTTCCAGCTCCCTGCAGCCTCCCCGGTTACGAAACGGGAATCTCTTGACTCAGCATCAACCACGCGGCCTCTCCCGGCTCCTTGCCCGGTGCTACCTTTGCACCGCAGCTCCGTGCCACGCCGCAGGAGGTGAGCGGTGGGAGGAAGGGCACCGGCACCTGCTGATTTCGGTGCTCCGCACCACGCTCGGTTTCACACGGTGCCGAACCGAGAGCGCGTTTCTGTTCCTCAATCTTTATTTGGAGCCTCGGGAGCGAAGCTGCCCTGCGGTGCCTTTTGGCAGTGCCGGGGTGTGTGGCTGCCGGTGATGGCAAAGCCAGGCTGCCGTCAATGCAATGAAACCCTGTGCGGTGCTGCTGGGGATCGCTCACCATTCCTGGTGACATCTCGGTGATGCCGCGGTCATGGCACATCTCCTGCCGCAGCTCCCTGGCAGAGCGCGATGGAGCTGTCGCAATCTCACCGGTAACGGCAAGCAGCAGCTTGCAACACGTCCTTTGCCCGGCTGCGGCGCTGGGCGTGCCGCAGGGCCTCAAGGGAATGGGGCTCCCCTGGTGACCCCCCACATTGCTTCATCCTGATGGGGGGCACGGCCGTGCTTGGATTGGGGACCACCAATGGTGCGGGCAGCGGGGGGCACGTGAAAGGGCGGCCGCTAATCCCCATGTCCTGACCGGCGCACGCGTTCCTTCATCCTCTTAAAGGTTCCCTTCAGGACGATGCCAGGAAGGGGGCTCACAGCCAAGGGGAAGGGGGGGTCCTGGTGGTCAATCCCTCCCCACACCCACCCCGGTAGCAGCTTTAGCTAAGAGCTGCCTTGCTAAAGGTGGAACCCTGCGGTGTTTCCATGAATGGCCAGTCCTGTAGGTTAACAGGCTCCTTGTGAGCCCCCTGCACTGTGCCAGGGCAGCTCCATGGTCGTGCCGTGACCCACCATGATCCAGGACCCCTTTCCCTCTCCAGGTTTGGATGTAACCTGAGCGCCTTTCAGAGCTGCTCGAGGAAAGGCTGGGTTGGCTCCAGCCCCAAACCCTCAACCGGTCGCAACGGCAATGCCTGGTCTGTCTCACTCCATCCCCATTGCCAGCACCCCTCGAGGCTCCCCATATACCCATGGACCCCATAGTGCTGGGGTGGGAGATGCGCTTTGAGGGCTCTCAGCCGGTGGTGCCGGTGGCTCCGGCCCTTTCCCAGGGGGGGATTGCTGGGGCCAGGCGAGGTTTCCAGGGGAACTGGGGGTTTATGGCTTTCCTGCCCCTCTTATCGCGGCCCCATTGATCCCTTTGATCGGCGCCGGCAGCTGCGTTCAGCCCCGCGGGGTCCGGATCCTCGGTGTGGGGTTGAAGTGTGGGGGGGGACAGTGGGAGGAAAGGGGCTCGCAGTGGAGCACCGGTGGGTCCCGGTGTTACCGTGTGCCCATGGGACGAGCGGGTGTACCGGTGATATTTATAGCCCCCGTGCCGCTGGCAGTTGTTCAAAGCTGTCATTGAGGAAAGTGGGAGCCATCCCCGTGGCGCCTGGGCAGCGCCTGGCTCTGACACCACCTCCTCGACAAGGGGGGGGATGAGGATCATCCACCGGCCACCGCCTGCGGGTCTGGACCGCGCCGCACTGAGGGGGCCGGGGCAGCACATCCCCGCTGCCATAAATCAGGCAGGAATGTGCCGTGTCGGGATGCGGCCACCCCTAAACCGGGTGCTCGAGGTGCCGGAGGCCTTGCCCTGCTCCAGTGATGCCGGGGGGATGCTCTTGCAGGAGGAGGTGCTGCCAGCCCTGATGGGGCAGATTTGCCCTCCTCATTTGTCAGGGTTGGACCCCCAGGGACCCGTTTTGAGCCCACAAAGCCTCCTGGTTCATGGGTGCACACAAACCAGTTCCCAATGCCGGCTCTTGGCACTGGGTCTCATTGGTGCTGCAGGTGTGGAGGAGGGATCGTGCCAAAGCATCGCTCCAGTGTGCATGGAGCAGGATGCTAAAAATACCTGGGATTGGCATTCCCGAGAGGAGCAGGGCCCGAGCGCGGTGTTGGCGGCTCTCAGTGGGGCAGGGGATGGTGGTGCCAGGTCCAACCTTCAGCCACAGGGACCCCATGGCCCCACGCACGGACCCCCAGAGCCCTCAGCATCCTGTGGGGCTCTGGGATCACAGCCCAGGGATGCTGGTTTGGGGAGGTGGGGGGGGTCTGGGGTGATGGGGGGCATTGGTACAGCAATGGGGAGCATTGGTATAGAGGTTTATGAGCGGTGTTCTCCTGTCGTTGTGCAGCTGTATGAGCTGGATGGTGACCCCAGGAGGAAGGAGTTCCTGGATGACCTCTTCAGCTTCATGCAGAAGCGAGGTGAGCCCCCCCCCCCCCATAGGCTCCCCCTTCATCCCCCATGGGGCTGGGGGCTCATTTCCTCGCCCCTCATCCCAACCCCGAGGTCAGCCCCAGCCCCGGTTGGGCCCATGGTTAATTTTTAACCTCTTTGCACAATGGGGTCAAACCTGCTGGGCTGGATCCGGGTCCCCTTCACCCAGTCCGGCTCTTGGCCAACCCTGGGCTCGTTGCCCCCATCCTGTGTCCCCTCCCTTGGTTATCACTGAGGATGAAGCCCCCTTGCTACCTCTTCACCCTGCTGTGCCTGGGGGTGGTGGTTATGGAAAGGGCTGGAAGCGAAGCTAAGGGTCTGGGTCCTGCATGGAAAACAGCTCTGGAAGTGCTGACACATCTCTGCCTGCAGCCCTTTGTGGGGCTGGCATTGGGGGAAGCACGTGTGTGCTCTGTGTGTGTATGGAGGGGGGGGGGCCGTTGGTAGCGTCCCACTGAGATCACACACCAGAGCTGGGCTCGCAGAGAGGGGGATGCGCTGCACCCCCTTCCCCATCGCTTATGGGGACCCCCATAAATAACCCCCGTTATAAATAACTTGTGTTGCCGGGTGCAGCCGGGCTCAGCCTTGAGAAACCGCGCTCAGCTGCGGCTGCAGACGCCAGTTTCTGTTTCCTTTGCTCATGAGGGTGATGCTCAGAAAGGGGGGGTCCAAGGGGGGATGGAGATGGTGGGAGGGAGGGGATGAGCAGCACCCCCCTCCTGCTGCATCAATGGGGGTCTCAATGGCTTCCCCTTGGGGTGAGAAAGCAGAACCCAGACCCGCTCTCTCCTCCCTTCCCCGCTCCCCAGGGACCCCCGTCAACCGGATCCCCATCATGGCCAAGCAGGTGCTGGACCTGTACATGCTGTACACGCTGGTGACGGAGAAGGGCGGCCTGGTGGAGGTGATCAACAAGAAGCTGTGGCGGGAGATCACCAAAGGGCTGAACCTGCCCACCTCCATCACCAGCGCTGCCTTCACCCTGCGCACCCAGTGAGCGGCGGGCAGGGATGGGAGGGTCCTGCGGTGGGGATGGCGCTGCCCTGCATGGGATGGATGGGTACCACCATCACCATCCGCATCCCTTCCCTCCGGCAGGTACATGAAGTACCTGTACCCCTATGAATGTGAGAAGCGAGGGCTGAGCAACCCCAACGAGCTGCAGGCGGCCATCGACAGCAACCGGCGGGAGGGCCGCCGGCAGGGTTTTGGCAGCTCCCTCTTCACCTACTCCCCCGGCGGCACCCATGGGCTCCTCTCCTCCCCGAAGCTGCCGGTGCCGGCGCTGGGGTTGGCGTCTGCCACCAACGGCGGATCCATCGCTCCCGTTCAGAAGATCAAGAAAGGTAATGGATGCTATGGGGACCGGGCTGTGGGCTGGGAAAGGCAGGGGGGTCACGCTCCCGTCCCCCTCCTCTGGGCACTGGGACCCTCACTCCGCTCAGGGTCACCCCGGGGTGCTGGCATCCATCCCTCCCTATGCCCTGCATCCCTCACCGCCGCTCTGCCCCTGCAGAGGAGGACTCCCCCATCCCCATCTCCGTGCCCAGCCGCCTCCCGGTCTCTCTGGCCGGGCACCCCGTGGTGGCAGCGCAAGCGGCCGCGGTGCAGGTGGCGGCGGCGGCTCAGGCCGCGGCGCTGGAGCAGCTCCGGGAGAAGCTGGAATCGGGGGAGCCCCCCGAGAAGAAGATGGCGCTGGTGACGGACGAGCAGCAGCGGTTGATGCAGCGGGCGCTGCAGCAGAACCTCCTGGCCATGACGGCGCAGCTGCCCATGAGCATCCGCATCAACAGCCAGGGAACCCGCTCGCCAGGTCAGTGCCAGCACCGGTAGAGCCCCCCCGGTCCCATAGGTCCTTGTAGGGTCCATAACCCATCTCTTCCCCGGCAGAGAACCGCCAGGACTCGGCCACCGGCCTGGGCAGCAACGGCACCAACAGCATCAGCATGTCGGTTGAGATCAACGGTATCGTCTACACAGGTGAGGGGCTCATCCTCTGCCATCCCCAGCATCCCCCAATGCTGGCGTTGCCGGCACCATTGGCACGGCCGCGCCGCCCCATGGCTCAGCCCCCCTTGCTCTCTCCCTTAGGTGTGCTGTTCGCCCAGACACCCGGCCCTTCCTCCTCCTCCTCCTCCTCGCTCCCATCCTCTGCCTACACCAAAGGCAACGGCGGCGGTGGCAGCCGGACCGGTGGCAGCAGCGGTGGTGCCGGCGGCACTGCGGCACCGACCAACCTGGCCGTGCCCCCCACTTCTACCTCCAACAACGCTTCGCCTTAACAAACACCCCTGCACCGGGGCCTCGTTGGGGTCTCCTTGGGGTCTCTGCCCGTGCCCTTGTGTTGTTGGCTTTCCCTTCACAAGCCAGAAAAGCTTTATCCCAAAGGGGGGGGGGTTTTGCCGGAGCCGCCGGCCTCGTCCCGTTTGTGCCGCTCCGGGACCGTTTACCTCACTCACATCACACTTTGCACTGTACATTTATTATTATTATTAATTATTAATTATTGTTTTTGACCTCGTGTTACCTCCAGACAGACGCAGGGACGCCTGCCGCTGCGAGCTGTAGTGAAACCCCCCCTCCGGTGCACTCAAAGGCAAAAACCCCATAGATAAATCAGGAATTCCAGGAGATATTTAGATCCTCATTTAGCTCCTTTCCCCCCATCCCCAATTCCTTTTCTTTTTTGAGGACTCGCTATACGGGATTTTCAGAGGTTGTTGTTTGATTGTTTCGTTGTAAATAGCTTCTATTTTATTCTCAGAAAGAAGAATCAAACTTTTAAACATGCAAAAATGATATATATTCGTGCTCATCAGGGAAACAGGAGCTTGGAAAACTGGGAAATCTGTAGTGGAAACTGGGAAAGCTTTAGTGGAAAGCCTGATTTGTATTCCTTCCCCCATTATACTACTGTGGAAAGCCCATTTGGGCATCTTTTCCTCCCCAAAACAAGCAGCGTGGTGAGAGCAGGAGCTTAAATAGCCCTTAGCAACGGGATGCAGGAGCTTGTATCCATGATGGGGATGCTCAAGGCTCGGGGGGGCTGTGGGATGCTCCGGTCCTTCAGGAACCCCAGAGCATCCCCATCCCTAAGGATGCATTTGAAGCATCTTTCTCTCCCCATCCCACCACGCTGAGGATTTTCCCACTCTTTTAACCTTTCCTTGCCCCCCCCCCCATCCCAAACCATCTGCGTGAGACACAATCACGACCCGATACCGAACCCCCCCCCTATTTGCCCCCCAATTCGGTATCTCAAGTCCTCAGGTTCCCACCTCAAGCACAGGGTGGGTTGTTTTTACCCCCCCCCATCCCCTTCCCCAGGTGCCTGGTGTGTGTGGGGGGGGTTCTATTGCTCTTGGACCCCCCCCTTTCCTTTTCTTTTCCCTTGGGGAAGAGGCGATCTCAGGGGATTTGGGGCTTTTCCAGCTTGGTTTTAGCCTGGAAGTGCCCCTTTAGTGGCTCCACGAACCCCATCCCTTATGGGGCAGGAGGGAGGTGATGCAGGGGACGGGTCCATCCACCTCCTGCCACTGTTGGATCCAGCTCTCCAGAAGGAGAAATCCCAAAGAGGGGGGGGTCTTACACCCAGGGTGGGCTTTAGATTCTCTTCAGTGACTTTTTCCTTTGTACAGTCACCGTTTTGGGTTGGTTTCTTTATTTTTCATGATTTCCCCCCCCTTGTTTTTTGAGGTTTTTTTTTTTTTTAAGAATATATTACCTCCCACTGGATTTTTTTTGGTTTGTTTTATTTTTTTTTTTTTACATACCAGTTTAAAAAGAGAAGAATAATAATAAGAAAAAAAAAGAAGCCTAAATCAGTTTCTCTGGGGTTTAGAAAAGCAAAACTCAATAGGAACGGACCCAGCTGCAGCCGCCTCGACCCAGCGAGCGCATCTTAACTCAGGTAAAAATAGACAGAAGAATGAAAAACAGAGAAAAAAAAACCCACAAAAAATTAAAAAAAAAAAAAAAAGACAAAAAAAAAGGACAAAAAAATAGGAATAAAAACCACATTCTACCTCTGCGAGCGGCGGCCTCGGGCGCACCCGGGGCCCCCGGTGAACGATTTCAGTTTTGCAGCCATTCAGGTATTGAAACTTTTGATGATTTAATTAATAAAAAATAAATAAAATAATAATAAAAAAATAAAATAAAAAAATTTAAAAAAAAAGAAAGGAAAAATAATAAAAAAAAGGATTAAAAAAAAGAGAAAATAAAAGAAAAACCACTGAAAGTTTACATTTTATAATAACATTATTATACAGATTGTATTTAAACGTCAGAATATTTAAGACAATTGTAACCCTGTAAAGTTGATGAAATATTAAAAAAAAAGGAAAAAAAAATATATATATAAGGTGTGATGTGTTGGGGGTTGTGTCCTAGGGGTGCCCACCCCCCACTGCCCTGTGGGGGTGCTTATGGGGCCATAGGGTGGCCATGGGGCTGGGAAGTGGCCATGGGGTCCCTGTCGAGTGCCTGGAGGGTCCCTATGGGATTGGCATGGGATTAAGGGGTCCTCATGGGGTCCCTATGGGGTGCCTATAGAGTTATAGGGGTCCTTTACATGGTGTGCATAGGGCTTGGGATTGTCCATGGGGTCCCTATGGAATACCTATAGAGTGTCATGGGGTCTTCTTGGGGTGCCTATGGAGTTATAGGGTCCTTTACAGGGTGTCCATAGGGCTTGGGGTTGTCCATGGGGTTCCTATGGAATACCTATAGAGCGTCATGGGGTCCTCGTGGGGTGCCTATGGAGTTACAGGGTCCTTCACAGGGTGTCCATAGGGCTTGGGGTTGTCCATGGGGTTCCTATGGAATACCTATAGAGTGTCATGGGGTCCTCATGGGGTCCCTGTGGGGTGCCCATGGGGTTATAGGGTCCTTCACAGGGTGTCCATGGGGCTTGGGGTGTCCATGGGGTCCCTATGGAATACCTATAGAGTGTCATGGGGTCCTCATGGGGTCCCTGTGGGGTGCCCATGGGGTTATAGGGTCCTTCACAGGGTGTCCATGGGGCTTGGGGTGTCCATGGGGTCCCTATGGAATACCTATAGAGTGTCATGGGGACCTCATGGGGTGCCCATAGGATATTTATGGGGTCCCTGTGGGGTGCCCATAGGGTTATGGGATCCTTTGCATGGGGGTCCACAGGGCTACGAGGTGTCCATGAGGTCCACACGGAGTGTCCATAGGGCTTGGGGGTGTCCATGGGGTCCCTGTGGAATACATAGAGCATCACGGGGTCCTCGTGGGGTGCCCATAGGGTGTCCATGGGGTCACTATGGGGTGTCCATAGGGTTATGGGATCCTTTACAGCGTGTCCATAGGGCTGTGAGGTGTCCATGAGGTTCACACAGGGTGTCCATAGGGCTTGGTGTGTCTATGGGATCCCTATGGAATACCTATAGAGTGCCATGGGGACCTCATGGGGTGCCCATAGGATATTTATGGGGTCCCTATGGGGTGCCCATAGGGTTGTGGGATCCTTTGCATGGGGTCCATAGGGCTACGAGGTGTCCATGAGATCCACACGGAGTGTCCATAGGGCTTGGGGGTGTCCATGGGGTCCCTGTGGAATACATAGAGGATCACGGGGTCCTCGTGGGGTGCCCATAGGGTGTCCATGGGGTATCTAGGGGGTATCCATAGGGTTATGGGATCCTTTACAGCGTGTCCATAGGGCTACGAGGTGTCCATGAGGTCCACACTGGGTGTCCATAGGGCTTGGGGTGTCTATGGGATCCCTATGGAATACCTATAGAGAGTCACGGGGTCCTTATGGGGTGCCTATAGGGTTATGGGATCCTTTACAGTGTGTCCATAGCGCTCGAGGTCTCTCTATGGGGTGTCCCTATAGGGTGTCTCTATACGGTCTCTCTATGGGGTGCCCCTATAGGGTGTCTCTATAGGGTGTTTCTATGGGGTGTCCCTATAGGGTGTCTCTATAGGGTCTCTCTATGGGGTGTCCCTATAGGGTGTCTCTATACGGTCTCTCTATGGGGTGCCCCTATAGGGTGTCTCTATAGGGTGTTTCTATGGGGTGTCCCTATACGGTGTCTCTATAGGGTCTCTCTATGGGGTGTCCCTATAGGGTGTCCCTATAGGATGTCTCTACGGGGTGCCAGGGCGCGCCCCGCCCTACGCAGCCTCCTCTGATTGGCTGAGGCAGCAGGCGGGGCGGCGCTCTAGGCATCCACCGCCCTCTCTCTCTGTCCCTGGCGGACCGCGAAGATGGCGGCGCCCATGGAGGTGGCGCTGGTGACGGACGCGGCGGGGCCGCTGTGCAACTGCTCGGCCTGGGAGCTGCACTCGGGCTCGGCGCTGCCCGGGTACCGCGGCGGCAACAGCGGCCCTCGGGGGCTGGCGCTGCTGGGCGGCGAGCACCTCCTGGGAGCGCAGCTCGGCAAGAGCTACATCAACGTCTGGGAGCTCCAGAGGAAGGTACCGGGCCCGGGAGGCCTCGGAGCCGGAGGGACCCCCCCCAGCCGCGGCTGACGGGATGGAGCGGGGGTCCCTTCCCTTGAGAGCCCTCCCCTTGTTTGTGGTGGGGGTCCCGCGCCCCCCCCTTTCCCCATAGAGGAACTATGGCACCAACTTCATGGGCCCCTTGCTCCATAGAGAGCCTTGGGCCACGGGGTCAGGCACCCCCTCACTGGAGACCCCCATCTCCATGGTGGGGGTCCCGCACCCCCCCTTTCCCCATAGAGAGCCTTGGTCCCCTTGGGCACTTCCTTTCCCTGTGGCACCAAGTTCATGGAGACCCCCATCTCCATGGTGGGGGTCCCGCACCCCCCCTTTCCCCATAGAGAGCCTTGGTCCCCATGGGCAGTGCCTTTCCCTGCGGCACCAAGTTCCTGGAGACCCCCATCTCCATGGTGGGGGTACCACTCCCCCATGGAGACCCCTGCCCGCATGGCCCCATTCCCCATAGAGAGCCTCGGTCCACAGGGTCAGGTACCCCCTCACTGGAGACCCCCATCTCGGTGGTAGGGGTCCCGCTCCCCCCCTTTCCCCATAGAGAGCTTCAGTCCACAGGGTAAGGTACCCCCTCACTGGAGACCCCCTTCTTGGTGGTAGGGGTCCCGCTCCCCCCCTTTCCCTATAGAGAGCCTTGGTCCACAGGGTCAGGTACCCCCTCACTGGAGACCCCCATCTTGGTGGTAGGGGTCCCATTCCCCCATGGAGACCCCTGCCCGCATGGCCCCTTGCCCCATAGAGAGCCTTGGTTCACGGGATCAGGCACCCCCTCACTGGAGACCCCCATCTCGGTGGTAGGGGTCCTGCTCCCCCCCCCCCCCTTTGCCCATAGAGAGCCT